GGGTGGGTTGCATCCTAGGGGGGGGGGGGGGGGGTTTGCACCCTACGGGGGGTTGCTTACGTTCTAGGGAGGTTGGTCCGAGATGGGGAGTAGTCAGTCATGGGGTAGTGAGGCGGAAGGTACGGGGGGCGGTGGTAGTTAGCCCGGGAAGCATAGGGTCCCGGGTAAGCATGGTGCCCAGGAAAGCATTGTGTCTTCAAATAACGTAGTGTCCCGGGATAGCATAGTGTCCCCAGAAACCCCCCCAACCCATCCTCTCTCAACGTCCCCCCCCACCCAACCACCCCACAGCACCCACCGCGTCCGACATGTCGCAATGCAGCTTCGTCACCGAGTCCCCCGCCCCCAGCTCGCCCCGCACCCCATACGCAATATACGTCTTGGGCCCCAGATCCGGCCGCAAACTCCCCTCGGCGCGGCCCGCACCGCGGCCACGTTCACGTCCCCTCCTCGGGGTGCAGGTAGGCGTGGAAGGGCAGGGCGTTGACGAACTCGGAGCCGTGGCGGGGCAGGCGCAGGTGGAAGTGCGAGGAGGGCGGCCAGTCCTTGAGCTTCAGGAGCTCGGGCCAGGACGACGCGTGCATGCGCCCTGACCAGTAGCCTTCAAAGAACTGCCGCGTGTTGATCTCCACCTGGGGGGAAGGAGGGGGGGGATGGGGTGAGGGTGTGGTGGGGTGTGGTTGAGAGGAGATGGGGTGAGGGTGTGGTTGGGAGGAGATGGGGTTGGGTATGAGGGGTGACGGAAGACTGTCGAGTGGAACATAGTGCATCCATCCGGGTTAGTAGCCCTCGAAGAACTGCTGTGTGTCTATCTCCACCTGGGGGGACAGGGAAGCTTTGTGGGGGAAGGGAAAGGAGGGAGGAGGGTTGGGGAAGGGGAAAAGAGGGAGGAGGGTTGGGGGAAGGGGGGAAACGAGGAGCAAGAATGGCATAGTGTGTCGCCAAGCGTTTTTCCCTGTAATTTCACTTAACCGTTGAATCCTGAACCTCGTCCACGTATCCTTGGCTTGTCTTCCCCACCTCCCTTGCCCTCCCACCCGCTCACCCCCTCCCCTCCCCCCCGCCCCCCCCTCCCCCTGGCCTCACCTCGAGCCAGTCGAGGCAGTCAATGGCAACAACCGTGGTCTTCTCGCTCATCTGCGCGCCCTGGGTCGTCTCCCGGAACGCACGCCACATCACCAGCGGCTCCCAGCTCAGCCCGTGCTGCAGGTCCAGCACCCGCCGCACCACCACTGGCTCCCCCTCTCCCAGTGCCTCTGGAAGTGCGCCACCATGCTCGAATCGTCTCGCTCCTCCCCTCCCTCCGCAGTTTCCGCCCGTCCCTCCCCTGCCTTCTCCTTTCTCTCCTCTGCCGTCTCCTTTCCCTCATCCGCCTTCCCTTTTCTCTCCTGGTCTTGCTCCTCTTTCCCATCTCTTGCTTCCCCTCCCTCCTCTGCTTCCCTCCTCGGCCAGGGCAGGGTCGGGCAGAAAAGGAAATTGTCGGAGCTGCCCGGGCGGCAGGAGGCCCAAAGCAGGCTGTTGGCGTGGCAGTGGCGGTTAAGGGCAGCCTTGTAGCGCTTAAAGAGTGAGAGCGCTTGGGGGAAGGACAGGCCCTGCCAGTGGGAGAGAATGTCGGAGGAGCTCTCAGGAGGCGATTCAGAAGCAGGAGCAGTAGGAGCAGCAGCAGGGGCGACAACAGCGGGATCAGAGGCAGCAGCAGCAGACGGAGCAGTGTCAGGATCATCATCAGCAGCAGCAGCAGCAGCAGCAGCAGCAGCAAGAGCACCAGCAGCCAAAGGGCAGCAGCATGAGGAGCAGTAGATAGCTTGCTGTCACTGCAACCCTTCTCTTCCTTAGCCCCTTCCTCCACCATCTCAACCTCCCCTTCTCCCTTCCTCTGCTCCTCCCGCTCCTCCTGCTCCTCCCGCTCCTCCGCTCCTCCGCTTCCTCCTTCCCCTTGCCCTTCCCTGTATCCTCCATACCGTTCCCATCCTCGCTCTCCCTCCTCTTCCGCTGCAAATCGCCCCACACAGCAGCAAGAGCCTGCGAGAGTCTGTGCATACGAGTGGCACTATCCTCGCACACCCCACACCCCTTCCCTGCACTGCTTGCTGCTTGCTTGCATGACTCTGTATATGGCTTCACCTCCAGTATCCCTCCTCCCTGCAACCTTCCTGCCCTCCTTTCTCCCCTTCTTCTTTTTTCTCTTCCACTCCTCCCTTCACTTCGCCCCTTCCATCTCTCCCTTCTCCAAATCATAATTTCCTTGTCCTCTTCCTTTTTCCTTCTCATCCTTCCTATCACCCCCAACCTCATCCACCTCCATCCCCTCTCCTCTCCCTTCCACATCCCCTCCACCTCCCTCCTCTCGCCTTCCTTCCCTCGCCTCTTCAGCCCCACTCTTCTCCTCGCCCTCCCTTCCCTCTCCCCCATCACCTATTTTCCCCTCACCTCCGTTCCCTGCCCCAACCCTGCGCCTCCCACTTTCCCCATGCGTATCCCCCCCTACATGCCGCTCGCACTGCTGCACCAGCCCTTCCAGCCACCCGCGCCCCCTCACACTGCACAGCAGCAGCTGGTGTCTGCTCTTCCATGGCTCTCCCTGCTTGCCTTCTTCCGCTTCCCCATCCACCTTCCCATCCCCATCAACCTCCCCTTTACCATCCATTTTCCCCTCCACTTTACCCTCCCTTTACCCTCCCCTTTACCCTCCCCTTTACCCCCCCCTTACCCTCCCCATTACCCTTTATTTCACTTTCCATTTCACCCCTCCACTTTTCCCGCATCTCCCATAGCCCCATTCCTCCCTGCACCCTCCACCTTGTCGCCGTCTGCAATACGGCCCTTCTCTCCCGCATTTTCTTCCTCTCCCGCATTTTCTTTCTCTCCCACATTTTCTTTCTCTCCCGCCTTTTCCTTCTCTCCCCATTTTTCCTTTTCTCCCGCCATTTCCTCTCTCTCACCTTTTCCTCTTCACATCCCTCCGTCTCGCCACTCACTGCTCCATCCATATCCGCCTTAGCCCCCACCCCGTCCCCTTCCCTGCTTCTCCTTCCTCCCTTCCATCCTAGCCTTCTCCTGCTCCCCCTGCCCCTTCCCCCTCCTTCTCTTCCTTCCCTCCTTGTTCCCCTGGTTGCTCCCTCCCCCCTCCCTCTGTCCACCACCCTGCACTGCAACGAAGGGCATGGGATGGCCCCAGTAGCATCAGCAACCCATCTCATCCTCGCTCCCACCATGCTACCCCCTGTCCCCTCTCCCCCTCCCTTCCCATCCGCCCCATCCCCACCATCAGCACCTTCTTTCTGCCCTGATTTCAAAGGCAGTCTCAGCTCCTTAATCAACATACTGGCAACAGACCCTCCCTTTCCCTCCCACTCCCACTCCCACTCCCACCCGCACTCCCACTGCCTGTCTTTCTTCTCTTCCCTGGCATTCCCAACCCAGACCCCTTCTTTTCTTGCCTTTATGACCCCCCTTCGCCTCACCCATACCTTCTCCTTTTTCTCCTCCACTCTCATCCTCTCTCTCTTGCCGTCACCCCACACGTCCCCCTCGGCTTCTCTCTCCTCTCCCTCTCCCCTCTCCCCTTCCTCTGTCCCCTCCCCACAAAACTCCGCAGAAAATACCTCTCCTGGGGGCAGCTGCCCGGCTCGCAAATCTTTGCAACAGGAGAGGCAAAGGTCAAAACCACACTCCTTGTCTGGGCAGCTTCGGAAATAATCAACGATCGAGGTCTGGCAGTGTGAGCTGGGGAGTCAGATGCACAGGGGTGGTGCAAGGGAGGGGACGAGAAGCAAGAGGAAGCAAGAGGGAGAGAATACTGAGAAAGGCATAGTAAAACACACACTCTGAACATGTTCTCTAAGTTGAGTCGGACTAAATTGGATGGACCGGATGGGAGGGAGGACGGGGAGATGAAGAGAGACGATCTGAAGGGAGGAGGCAGGGGATACGTGAAGAGAGCTGACCAGAAGATCCGTTCGTCAACTGATATCTTCACTCGCTTGATGTCCACTTCTGCAGCACACACACACACACACACACACACACACACACACCCCGCACACACACACGCACACACGCGCGCGCAACACACACACACACACACACTCGCATACGCACACACGCACACTCCCATACGCAGACACGCACACACACACGCACACATACACACACACACTGGCATACACACACACGCACATGCAAACACGCACACACACACACACACTCGCATATGCACACACGCACACTCGCATACGCAGACACACACACACACACACACACACACTCGCATACACACACACTCGCATACACACACACGCACATGCAAACACGCACACACACACACACACACACACACATGCACAATTCCATAAACACACCAAGAACGTGTGTAGATGAATGGAGGCCTACAGGCACCCTGGAGCGCACACCCGTGTGAACATACAAGCAAAAACATATGAACAGCAGGAAAACGAACCACAGAAGCACCCTGGAGCGCCCTCCCTCCTCCTTCCCTCCCCCCTCCCCCCTCCCCTCCACCCCACACACACCAACCCACCCCACAGACCCAGACCCCAACTCACTGTGCTCCTCCTTGCCCTGTGCAGCTGCCTCTATGCGCGTCTCCTCCTGCTGCTGCCGCACCAGGTCAGCCAGCAGAGGCGTCACATACTGCAGCACTCGGCGTGCCATGCCCGCTCGCTCCCCTGCTGCTGCATCTGCTGCACGCTGTTGGGATAGGTGGAAGGGCGGCAGGGGGAAGAGGGGGGGGAGGAGGGGGCGGGAAGAGGAGCCGAGGAGGAAGAGCAGTGTAGATGGGAGGAAGGGAGAGGCACGGGAAGGGGAGAAGGGAAAGGGTTTGAGTGCAATGACACGGATGCAGGGAGGGGGTAGATGAAGCAAGCAGCACATGTACAACACATAGGTGAGTACTGCATGGCATGGCAAGAAATGGCATGGGGCATCGGCGATTGCATGGGGCATGGGGCATGGGGCATGGGGAATGGAGCATGGTGCATGGCATGGCATAGGAGTGGCCGAGCACTGACATAGGGCACAGGGACGCGAGTGCGCAGACACGTCTTGCAGTTGCAGTTGCCACGGCACTTGGGGCAGAAGGCCACTATCTCGTCTACTGTGTACATGGGGTACCTGCACCCATCCGCCCATGCATGCACCCATCCACTCATGCATGCACCCATGCATGCATGCGCCCATGCACCCATGCAGCAATGCACCAATGCACCCATGCATACAGACACCCATGCACCATTGGACCATTAAATTAGGAGCGCAGCTTTGAAGAACTTATGAGTCTTTCTTTCTGGGGGTGCCTCAAAAGCCAGGGAGGAGGCACAGAGGGAGAGCGGGAAAGACGAGCGGGAGGAAAAGAAGGAAAACGAAAGGGGAGGCGGCGGGGAGTTGGCGGGTGAGGGTGGAGCGGAATAGAGCAAAGGAGGATGGGGGTTAACAAAGAGGGACACACCATTGGCGGATGCATGGAAGGCAGAATCGTGGGTGGGCACGCGCTGGCAGTACACCACTCCTTCCTCCTTGTCATTCCGCTGGCACTGGTGGCACATGCGATTCATGCCCTGGGAAGAGAGAGGGCCATGGGCCAAGGGCCATGGGCCATGGGGGGAAGAGGGTTTAAGAGACAACAGGAACAAAGGGACAGCAACGAAGCGTACGGACGGACAGAGTGGCGGCAATTGCAGATGAAAGAGTGGGCTCAACGAACAAGCGTGCAGCGAGGGCTTGCAGGTGTCGTACGTTGAATGTGTCAGCACAGCGAGGTGAACCTACTCCGAGGTTTTGAGCCATACCCGAATGACTTTGCCTGGCGTGGAGGGAGAGGGGAAGGGGGACGGCTGCGCCGTGCCCAGCGGACTTGAGGGACCTCGAGCACGAGTCACACGCCCAGCGTTGTCTGCACGACCAGCCTCGCCTGCACGGCCAGCCTCATCGTCATCGCCACTGCTACCAGCACTGCCTCTTCTGGTGCCCACTGCACGTCCCTGTTTCCTGTTGCTCCCTGCTGCTCCTCCTGCTCCTGCTCCTGCCCCTCCTGCTCCTCCTGCTCCTGCCCCTCCTGCTCCTCCTGCTCCTGCCCCTGCCCCTCCTGTTCCTCCTGCTCCTGCTCCTGCCCCTCCTGCTCCTCCTGCTCCTGCTCCTGCCCCTCCTGCTCCTCCTGCTCCTGCTCCTGCCCCTCCTGCTCCTCCTGCTCCTGCTCCTGCCCCTCCTGCTCCTCCTGCTCCTGCTCCTGCCCCTCCTGCTCCTCCTCCCCTAGGGCTCCTCATCTCCACTGTATGCATCTCCTTCCCACTGCTCCTCCTCCTCTTGGCAATTGTGGGAGACGCAACAGGAGGAGATGGGGGAGGGGATGAGGGAGGAGGAGGGGAGGTGACAGCCTTGCTTCTTCTGCCCCCACCACTGGCACCACTTCTCCTAGGGCTGCCTACGACTGGACCAACACCCTCCGCTCCTGCTCCCTTGGCATCTCCCTTGGCATCTCCCTTGGCATCTCCCTTGGCAACTACCCCCACACCACTGCCTGCACCTCTTTTCACTGGTCCTGCTGCCTCTTTCTTCGCCCCCCTTGTGCCACGGCCTCCAGGCTCCGGGGCCTTTGCACCTTTCACCTCCGCCTCTGCTGGCTTGCCTTTTCCGTGCCGCTTCTGCCTTCTGCCCTTCTCTCTTGCCTCCTCCTCATGCCACTCCTCATCCTCCTCCTCCTCATCGTCATCTTCGTCTGCCTGTTCTTCCTCCTCTTTCACCTCTTCCACCTCGTCCTCCTCTTCCTTCCCTTCCTTGCCTTCTTTTTCTTCCTTCTCTTCTTTCTTCTCCTCCCCCTTCCTCCCCCTCTTCCCACCAGTCACTTGCGTTGCACTCCGTTTCCCTTTCCTCTGCACGCCTTTCTCTTCCAACTTCCCACCCCTCACCTCTTCCACATCCCTATCACTACCCACGCCAGCAGCAGCAGCAGCAGCGCCACCACCACTACCTCCATCATTACCATTGGATTCACTCAGCAAGTCAACCGCACCCTCGTCCTCATCCCCTTTCTTTTCTTTACCTGCCCCATTCGCCTTCCCCCCATCTGCCTTCCCCCCATCTGTCTTCCCCCCATATGCCTTTCCCCCATCCGCCTTCCCCCCATCCGCCTTCTCCCCATCCGCCTTCCCCCCATCCGCCTTCCCCCCACCCCTGCCTCCCCCATCCCCTGCGCCCAGCAGCACCATGCTAATCGCACTTCCCCCTCTACCCCCTATTCCTCTCCCCCCACCACCCCTTCCACGCCCCTTACCCCCTCTCTCACCACCCGCTGCTGCCCTAACTCCGCCCCCACCTCCCCACTTCCCCTCCCCACCTCCCCCCTCCTCCCCCTCCTCCCAACCAGCTTCCCCTCACCCACCACCCCCTCCTGCGGCTCCTCTCCCCGTGCCCCCCCCTTCTGCTCTCTCAGTCGGCTCAGACCACCGCCCCCCCTGTGCTCGTCTCCCCGCGCTCTCCCCCCTGCGCTCCCCCCTGCGCTCCCCACCCCCATGAGCACATCCAGCGGCCTCTTCTTTGTCATGGCCCGTCTGGCCCCCTTGGGCGAGTTGCTTATCGCCAGCATTGGATCAAAATCGTCGTTGTTTCCGTCCTCCCGCTCTTGCCCATCCTGCTGCTGCTTTGCCGCCCCTGCCTCCTTCTCCTTCTCGCGTCCATCCCTCTGCCTTCCATCCCCCTTATCCATATCCTCCTTGGGCGTACTTTTTATACTTCTCTCCTGTTTGCTCCTCTCCTCCTTCTCCTTCCCCTTCCCCTTCCCCTTCCCCTTCTCCTTCCCCTTCTCCTTCCCCTCCGTGACACCTTCCACTTTCTCTACATGACCACCCCCCTCCCTCTTATCTCCATCACCCTTCCCCTCCTCCCCACCCTCCCCACCCTTCCCACCCTCCGCCCCTCCTCTGACGTCCCCCTTTCGTTTCCTCCTGCCCAGCTTCACCTCCGCCTCCACCAATCGGACCACCTCATCCGGCCCCTGCCCAATCTCAAAAGCATTTTTGCTGCCCTGGAGCCTCCGGCGGACTTCACTGGCGGCCGCAGAACCCCTCAGGTGTTTTCCACAGAGCTCGGCACACCTGGGGGCAACAGAGAGGGCGAGCGGGCGGAGAGGGATGCCGCGGCTACCCGCCTTCTGAAGCTCCTCAATGCAGACGGACAGGAGAGGAGGGAAGGGAGAAGAGACGAGGGGGAAGGAAAGAGGAGGAGAGGAAAGAGGAGAAGTAGGAGGAAGAGGAGGAGAGAGAGCAGAGGATGCAGCGTTGCTTTCTAGGTCTGCGTTGCCCAGTCCTTGCCCCGCTGCTCTCCCTGCCTCTCGTGCTTCATCCTCTTCACCGTCTGTTGGCTTCCTTGCTTCAAGTCCTCCTCCTTCTGCCCCCTTTTCCCCTCCTCCTGCTCCTCCCCTTGCTGTCAAGCTCTTGTGCACCTCTTTGCCCAAATTGCCCTCTCTGCCCTCATTGCCCTGCTCTCCTTCTCTCTCTGCCCCAACAGCTTCTACCACCTCTTCTCCTTTCCCCTTTTCCCCTTCCTCTTTCTTTTTCTCCTCTTCTCCTTTCACCTTTTCCCCTTCCTCTTTCTTTTTCTCCTCTTCTCCTTTAATCTTTTCCCCTTCCTCTTTCTTTTTCTCCTCTTCTCCTTTCACCTTATCCCCTTGCTCTTTCTTCTCCTCTTCTCCTTTACCCTTCCCCTTTTCCTCTTTCAACTTTGAGTTTTGGCTCCTCTCGGCGTCCCTGTCGTTCCTGGCGTCCCTATCGCCCCTACCGTCCCTACCGTCCCTACCGTCCCTATCGTCCCCAGCGCTGCTAGCAGCAGTGGCCTCTACCGCTCGTCCTCCCCCACTCTCCTCCTCCATCGCACCCTTCACGCGTGTGCGCTAGCCTAACCGTCCGGCACTACTGGGGAGAAAAAACCCCTTCCGCCCCTCTCCCCCAACCTGCCTTCCGCACGCGCTATCCCACGAAGAAAGCAGAACGTCTGGCGCGCACTCGGAGCCAAGAAGCGACGCTGGCGGCCGTATGATCTGTTGAAGGTCCTGCGAGATGTGGAGCGGTGCTGTCAGGTGTGGAGAACAAGAGAGCTCGTATTTCTGCTGCACCCCGGGAAGTTTGTCTCTCTCACCCCTGTCTCACCCCAGAAAGAACAGGGTTCCGCGGATGGGGTTGATCTATTTTAGCTGCCTCCGGGAATACGAAAGTTGGTGACTTTGATGGCGCTGCCGCTGTCGCTGTCGCTGCTGCTATTGCTTTTCCTGTTGCAGTCGCAGGAAGGGCGATACGTTGCGACGCGCCTCGCGAACGAACGAACAAATGAGCGAGCGAACGACGCCGCGTGCGACAACAGGCGAAGACAGGCGACGCCGAATAGGGTCCGTGCAGGAGCAACCACGCGGAACTAGGTCGCAAGGAGGAAACCGATACGATCAAGATAGCAACGCTACAATGGGGAGGGAGGAGCGAGGACGGGTAGCGGGGCCTACTGGCCTCTGAGCGTACACTCGAGTGGGCAATAAGACAACAAATGGCAATGTAGCAATGTGAGAGGCGAATTGGCTGAGGCCGTGGTGGGAGGAAGAGGTGCGGATGAAATCCGCTAGTGAGCAATTAGGGCAGGAATTTGGAACTCCCTTCCGACTTAGTGTAAATTATTGAACCCAACATAAAACACACATTACTGTTCTTTCTTGATACGTGTAGATACTTGTAGTGATCGTGATGGTGAATAGGATTCTGAGGAAACAAGAATGCTTGGTTTCTTACTCAATCAGGGACATGGTGTTAAAATTATATCTTTTATGTTTAGATTTATGTAGGCTTGGTAGAATTTCTACAGATTGTGGTCCTACTGCAGAGGGTATAACCCTTCCTCTTGTATCTCTCTCTTCCTAGTCCAATCCCTTTTCTCTCATCAACTTTCCTCCCTAGCTAAAACCTCGACATGTCTCATGCCTATTTAGGCTCCTAACTCATTTTGACATGGTTTCAGAGCAGGAGGTCCGTCTCATCACGCTTCCGCAGCGTACTCTCCCCCCTCCGGTCACTTTCGCGCCGCCGTGGCAGCCATATCGTGCTGCCATGGCGGCTTCGTCGTACTGTCGTGGCAGCCTGGACGCGCTGTCGTGGCGTCGACGCCACGCCGTGGCGGCGTTGTCGTGCTGCCGTGACACCCTCGACGTGCTGCCGTGGCATCGACGCCATGCCGTGGCGGCTTCGTCGTGCCGCCATGGCGTCGTCGACGTGTCAGCGCACGGGCGTCAGCGGGCCGCGCACCGGTTTAGGTGCCAGCCATGATGCAAGCATGCCAGCCAGTGCGCCAGCGCGGGCGCCTTGCTACACACCACCTCCCCCCCCCCCCCCCCCCTGCGTCTCCGAAGACAAGAACGTGATGGGACATGTGACGCAGATGCAGCAGTATGGGGTGACCTTGGAGGTGGTGCCACAGCAGCGACTAGTGAGTGAGCGACCGACAAAAGCAAGCCACAGCGACCTGGGTCGCCGAGATAAGGGGTAGCGCAGAGCGGCGGTGGATAGGCAATGAGCTGAGCCTCAGTGCTATCAGCGCGGTAGCTAGTCTCTAGTCCGCGGAGGTGAGTGGCAAGATCGGCAACAGTTGGGAAGGATGCAAGATCAGGGAACAGCATGGGGAGGATCAGCAGCCAGCTAAGGCGGAGGCGGGCATAGAATAGCGTGAAACTACGGCATCTAAGAATTCCTTGGCGTTCGCTACAGCGGTAAAGCGGGGACGCTCGGATAGGGGAAGGGCGTGACTAATGGCAAGCTGCACTACGGCGTCACGAGAGTCCCAGACAACATGAGCAAGCACACCAGCGGAAAAGGCCTCATGCTCAGCAGTGGTGGGGGCAGCTAGGAGGGCAACAGGCACAGCGGGGCAGGGAAGCAGGCCATCAACATGTACAGCCAGGGAGTGACCACCCTGGCGCTGACCTATCAGGTGATAGTGGAGGTCGACGAGCCACGCCTCGAAGTCTATCGCCCGACGCTCCGCGTCCAGGCGGAGCAGTGAGTCCGCCATCACCATGGCTGCATCAGCTGACTGCCGCTGACAAGGAGATGAGGAAAGGCGAAGGAAGGCGAAGGATAGCGGTGGAGAGCAGTAGAGTGTGGTCAGGGTGCGGTGGAGTGCGGTAGAGTGTGATGGAGTGTGGTGGAGAGCGGCGGAGAGTGGTGGAGTATGGTGCAGTATAGTGGAGTGTGGTGGAGAGCAGTGGAGAGCGGTGGAGAGCAGTGGAGAGCGGTGGAGACAGCCGGCAGACGTGCCGGCTCAGAAGGGAGCCAAGGCCGGTAGGTCGGGGGCGGGAGAGCGTAGGGCCAGCGAGCGCGGGACTGGCAAACACAGGGCCAGCGGGGCGCACAGGGCTAGCGGGGCGCACGGGGCTAGCGGGGCGCAAATGGGGCCAGCGGGGCGTACGGGGCCAGCGGGTCGCACGGGGCTAGGGCACGACGGGGCTAGCGGGGCGCGAACGGGGCCAGCGGGGCGCACGGGGCCTGTGACGCGCACGGGGCTAGCGGGGCGCAAACGGGGCCAGCGGGGCGTACGGGGCCAGCGAGGCGCACGGGGCTAGTGGGGCACGACTGGGCTAGCTGGGTGCGAACTGGGCCAGCGGGGTGCACAGGGCCTGTGACACGAAAGGGGTCAGCGGGGCGAACAGGGCCAGCGGGGCGTATGGGGCCAGCGGGGCGCACAGGGCTAACAGGACTCGACGGGGCTAGCGGGGCGCGAACAGGGCTAGCGGGGCGCGAACAGGGCTAGCGGGGCGCTGAGGGGCCAGCAGGACGTACGGGGCCAGCAGGGCGCATGGGGCCAGTGGGGCGCTAACGGGGCCAGCAGGGTGCTAAGGAGCCAGTGGGCGCTAAGGAGCCAGCGGGGCGTACGGGGCCAGCGGGGCGCGAAGGAGCCAGCGGGGTGCTAAGGGGTCAGCAGGGCGTACGGGGCCAGCGGGGCGCTAAGGGGCGGCTAGGACTAGGCCTAAGGCGGAAGCGTGAGTGGGCGGGTGGGACCTAACCTAGCGTGATACCATATCAACGTGAGAATGAATGACTAGAATGAGAGATACAATGTGCTTTTGTGCTAAGGGGTTGTACTCTCTAAGAGTACTCACCTATCTAGCCTACATGACATATATATATATATATATATTGACAGAAATATCGAGAGGTTTTAGCTAGAGGGAGAAATTGACGAGAGAAAAGGGGGTTCGCCTAGGAAGAGGAAGAGATACAAGAAGGGGGGTTGTCCCCTCCACAATAGGATCTAGTAATACAGCACATCTTGTCAACTTATACATATTAGCTATGTAGAAGTTATAGGCTAGACTGAGGTATGCTTCTAGTGAGTACAACCAACTAGTATTTGTTCTAGGTTGCCACTTCTAGTCAATTGATTCATTTCTTACTTTAACATGGTATCATGCGTAGGTTAGAATCCCCCACCTACCGCTTCCGCCCGTACCCTAGCTAGGCCCCGCCACCCCCTCGGGGGCCCCGTCGCGCCTCCTAGCCCCGTCGCGCCCCTCCTGGGCCCCGTCGCGCCTCCTGGCCCCGTCGCGCCCCTCCTGGGCCCCGTCGCGCCTCCTAGCGCCCCTCCTGGGCCCCATCGCGCCTCCTAGCCCTGTCGCGCCCCTCCTGGGCCCCGTCGCGCCCTGCCTGGCCCCGTCGCGCCCGCTAGGCCCCGTCGCGCCCGCTAGGCCCCGTCGCGCCCTGCCTGGCCCCGTCGCGCCCGCCTGGCCTCGTCGCGCCCTGCCTGGCCCCGTCGCGCCCTGCCTGGCCCCGTCGCGCCTGCCTGGCCCCTCCGTGCCTGCCTGGCCCTGCCGCGCCTGCCTGGCCCCGCCGCGCCTGCCTGGCCCCGCCGTGCCTGCCTGGCCCCCCCGCGCCTGCCTGGCCCCGCCACGCCTCCCAAGCCCCACCACGCCTGCCTGGCCCCGCCGCGCCTGCCTGGCCCCGTCGCGCCTGCCTGGCCCCTCCGAGCCTGCCTGGCCCTGCCGCGCCTGCCTGGCCCCGCCGCGCCTGCCTGGCCCCGCCGCGCCTGCCTGGCCCCGCCGCGCCTGCCTGGCCCCGCCGCGCCTGCCTGGCCCCGCCGCGTCTGCCGGGCCCCGCCGCGCCTGCCTGGCCCCACCGTGCCTGGCTGGCCCCACCGCACCTGCCTGGCCCCTCCGCACGTGCCTGGCCCCGCCGCGCCTCCCTGGCCCCGCTGCGCCTCCCTGGCCCCGCCGCGCCTGCCTGACCCCGCTGTGCCTGCCTAGCCCCGCCGCGCCTGCCTGGCCCCGCCGCGCCTGCCTGGCCCCGCCGCGCCTGCCTGGCCCCGCCGCGCCTGTTTGGCCCCACCGCACCTGCCTGGCCCCTCCGCGCGTGCCAGGCCCCGCCGCGCCTGCCTGGCCCCGCCGCGCCTCCCTGGCCCCGCCGCGCCTCCCTGGCCCCGCCGCGCCTGCCTGGCCTCGCCGCGCCTGCCTGGCCCCTCCGCGCCTACTTAGACGCCGTTATTGCTCGATATTCCACACCCGCGTCTGCTTCTGTTGGCCGCTTGCTCTTCCCTATGCTTTTCCCAGACCTTGCAGCCTTCCCTACCGTCGCAGACTTTGCCACTCACCTGCGTGCCCTAGAGACCCGCTATCGCACTGCCAGCACTGCTGCCCAGCTCACTGTGCTCCCCCCCCCTTTCTGCATGACGCTCTATTTTATCGCCATGCGCCTGCTAGACCGCCTCGCTAGTGCTCGCGATCACTTCCTTAGCCAGCACCCGGATGACCTCACCCTCATCGTCTTTGTCGACACCCTCACCGAGATCGAGACTCGTCAGCGCACTATCGCTCAGTCGAGCGGTGCGCCGGCAGTCTCTATCTTTCACGGCCGTGCCCCCTCCCAGTGCACGTTCACTGACGTTTCGGTTGCGGTCGCCACGGCGACCCCTCTCACCGAAACGGCTGCTGCGGTCCACCCGCAGCAGCGCTCGCGCCGCGGTGGCCGTGGTCGCCAAGGAGGTAGGGGTGGTAGCGCAGGTGGTGGTGGTGGTGGTGGTGGTGACGGTAGTCCACCTGCGGGGACTACCACTGGTGGGCAGGAGCAGCAGCCCCAGCCGCAGCAGGAGCAGCCCCAGACGCAGTCGCCGCCCCAGCAGCAGTCGCCGCAGACGTGGGCCCGTCTCCCGCCTGGCTGGCCCGGCACCTCCGGAGGTAGTGGCCGTGGTGGCGGCCCGCGCAGCTTGGCGTCTACTGGCGGCTCCGGTGCTGTCACCTGCCAGTACCAGCTTCAGACCGGGCCTCTTCGCGACACTCTGTGCCGCCGCCCGCACCCGACCGCCTGCTGTTTCCGCCGCCTCGACGATCTCTTTCGTCGTCGCTTTGGCCCGGCCCCGGACCTCCCAGACTGGCACAGCCTGCTCCGCCAGGGCGTGGCGATCTTTGAGTTAGACATGGATCAGATAGGTGCTGCTTTGCATGCTTTGTATTCTGGCGCTTCTAGTGTTGCTGGATCTT